GGATGTGGGTTCCATGAGAGGACCATTGATTTGACATAATTATATATCTTGATAAATGTAAAATTTTTCATTGTTTGTAAATGATATCAATATTGTGTATATTCAGTGTATGCATGTTATTATATTGTTGTAATGACTTATATATGTTGCAATTAATGGGATAGCCATGTGATCCTAACAGCACAATGTGGTTGTGTACCGATACTGCACTTGCTCTCTCTTTGTTGAGTACAGGGCATCTTCAGGTGGCTATTGATAGACCCCAGCTAGGTGACTATTGAGCATGATCGGATTCAAGGGTGAGCTAGTTCTTTTAGACTGCCATAGATATTTCTTGTTTAAGTCCACTCTTTTCGGACTCGGACTTTTGTTTAAGGTGTTGTTTAGTTTCGGGGTTGTACCCCTTGTTCTTAGACTTGTCGTTAGTAGAGTTTTGGTACAATGACTTTCAAGTTCTAGGGGTTGTTTTTCCTCATTAGTTATGTTCGGTGTTTTAGTTGAAACCTTGGAGTTTGTTGGAACTCTATATGATTTTCTACATTTAAACATGCTTTCGGATCTTTAAATGCCTTAGTTTTTGGTTGAGTTTGGTAGCTTGGGGTATAGTAATGGTTCTCCCACCGGAGGGTTAGTGTTGGTGTCAATCACGACGGTCTGGGTCGTGACAAAGTTGGTATAAGATCCCTAGGTTCATTGATCTCATTGTACCAAATCGAGTCTAGTAGAGTCTTGCGGAACGGTATGAAGACGTCCGTACTTTTCTTCGAGAGGCTATAGGACTTTAGGAAAAACTCACTTCTTTCTACTCCTTCGTGCTATGACTTGAGTCCAATTGGTATCTGGGTGATACAAATTGGTATCTTTCCTCCTTCACTCTATGGTCCGAATTAGAGCAACAAAAGTGGTAACACCATCACTAGCAAGAGATGATGCATATAGAATACCGACAATTGAATAGGGTCACCATTCGGAACAAGTTTCACTACCTCGGATAAATGATCTTTTGGCCAGTTACAGGGTGCATCATTTTACATTTTTGCTCTTGTACTGGGAGATCGATAGTGGTCATCTATGGAACAAACTACTTTAGAAATTGGGTTTGTCTGTGAGTTGTAACTTGAAAATTGTGAATGTGCGTTCCTTGTTGCCTGAATTAACTGTGAAAGTGGAAGTTGTATTTGCTTGGATATGATGATACGATCATGTGCACAACAAGTGTGGGTCTGAATTTTGATATGTACAATATGCTAGCTAAATTGATTTGAAACTATGCAAGTTGTAACTACTGAGTATCGTGAAACTAGTTGTGAAAAAAAGGTCACGACTAAGTTCGATGCAAGGGTCTAGATAATTTACGAGGTGATTCGTAAGAAAGTTCTGGACATGTCTTGCGCTTGAGTAATAATCGCGTGAGTGTCTGGGTGTAACCTAGGAATGTGTGAGTTATGGTGTTGAATTAATGAGAATAAGTTGGATGGTGTATCGTTGGATTGACTCGGGGTAGACAATGATTATCCTAGTTCCAAGGATTGTCCTAAATTGCTTAGTAAAGCTGAAAACCGTTGGGAGATTTAGAAAAGAAAAAAACCCCAGAAAAATTTATTGCCTGGGTACTGTTTCCGTTTGAGCCGTTGGGGCGGGATTTTTCTGCCAGCGCGAGGCCGTCAGAGCGGGAATTCCCCACTAGAGCGGGACAGGGCGAGACAGCCATCAGCCATGTCTCCTCTATTTTTCTCAGGTCTTCTTATAGAACCCGAATCAAATCCGAACAAACCCTTAAAATCCAATCAGTGTTCAGCAATCGAGGATAGACTATAAAACCTAGTAATAAATCGAATGTTGTCAAAAAAAAAAGCAAAAAAACTAGCATCCATGTGCTTACAAAAACAAAAAGGGGTTTGCGGAATTTTCTAAGTGTGAATTTTGGTTGACATTGGTTGCCTTTATGGGGCATGTAGTTTCAAGGGAAGGGGTAATGGTAGATCCCCAAAAGATTGAAGTACACAGGAATTGGGTCCGACCTAGTTCTGTGACTGAAATTAAGAGTTTTGTGGGGCTCGCTAGCTACTATCGTCGCTTGTGAAGGGATTAAGGTCAGATTTGCAGATTCAAGTTTATAGGTGACAACATTCAAGAAGTCTTGGTAAGGTACGGCTAGATAATGAACACAATTACTTTGGAAAATGCAGTTAGTATTGTTGTGATAACATGTGTGGGTTGTTTGGTGAATGATGAAATTAAGTTATGTCAATTAAGGATAGAAGCTATACTACGATTTCATAGATTGATTGTATATCAAGGAGGGTCAGGATACGACGGCTCCAATAGAAGCAATGCTTACTTGGTTAAGTAATTAAGTGTGTTACAATTGTAAAGAACCTAGACATATGAGGATGAAATCGGCAAGGTTGTGGAGGACGGGGAAATGGTAATGCATGTAGAGGAACAGTACAGACACACAAGGAGGTTGCCCGTCAAGATGACAGAGCTCAGTTTTATGCCTTTCCGGGCAAGACCGAGCTGAGGGTCTGATGCAGTGATCACAAGTACGATTATTGTTGGTGACCGGATGGCTAATGTGTTGTTTGATCCAGGTTCTACTTATTCGTATGTGTTACACTGCTAAAAATATTGCAAAAGGAGACCTCAAAAATAGGTCGCTAAAAAGAGACCTCAGGAGGTCGCTATTTGCATCAGTAACTTTTTTTTAATTATCTCTTAACAGGAGAGACCTCGTGAGGTCAATTTCATAAAAAAAATCTCCCTAATTAATAATATATGTGACTTATTTTACTTTTTTTATTTTATAGTATGTTTTCGTATAAAATATGCGACCTCACGAGGTCACTATTTGTTAAAATAAAAAATACTAATTTAATTTTAGATACCTCGTGAGGTCTCAATTTATTAGTCAAATTTGTTAAATAATATTTTTAAATAAGAGACCTTGTGAGATCTCTTATTTTTATTAAATTAAAATAGGGGGCACTTTTAATTTAGCTCATCTTCTTTCCCGCTCTTCACCTAAAAGCTAAAAAAAAGCCCTAACTTGTCTCTTCCCCATAGCTTTACAGATGTGTAGCCTCCGGTTATCCTCAGTTAGAAGTTTGAGTTTTCACCATCCGTTCGAAGTGTTAGTTTTCACCATCGAAACTCCCTCGGTTTGAAGCCCAAGCTTTCGTCGTCGATTCAAATTCTCTGTGTCAATTTCTTTCTCTGCAAATAAAGGTGAATCTTTCAATCTTTAAACCAAGTTGTAACTATATTGTTTATTTATTGCAAGCATCCATCAATGCAGACTCTCTCTTTCAATTTACTACAAGATTAAGTAGAATTTGTGATTCTCTTTTCACTTCATGAACATATAATTAACTTTGGGTTTTACTCTTGTTCTATCTTAATGTCCTGTTTTGACTTCTCGTGATGATTAACATGAATGCTAGCAAGTTTTTATATCATATAATTTAGAAGAAGATACATGGGTATTAATGAATAAAGAAATAAAATCTGTTATGAAGATTTTGTATTATATTTTGAGATTATTATACTTTATATCTCACTCTAAATAACTCCTAATAATCATGTGTTGAATTTTGATTTAAATTTAGAACTAATATCATTTTGGTTCATGTCTCTGTATGTATTTTAGTTGTTTTTTAACCAGAGGAGAGGAAAGTTATATATATATATATATATATATATATACAGTATAGTCTATCGATATAAACCATCGTGCAATAATGAGCTAGGAAAGAAAAATTAAGAAACCATTGTACCCAGAAAGGTCCTTGACCCTTAATAGTGCATGTTGGCTTCATGTGATGCATCTGCTTTCATAGAAATATTGAACAACATATATGGTTGACATTGACTAAGTCATTTTAATTGCTGGTGTTCTATTGGATCTCCTTTAGAGCCATTGTTTCTTTCTGCAGATCCCGGCAGATCTTACTACTAGCCTTGCGGTCGACTTTTCCGGTTAGTTATAAATTCGTTATAAAAAAATAGATATGCTTTCTTTTTTGTTCTTTGTTTATGAGAAACTAAGATGACATATGGATCTACCTATTATTTTATTTGTTGTAGTAATGAGGAGAGGAAAGTTATATACATACTATAGCCTATAGATATAAACCATTGTGCAGTAATAAGGAGAGGACAGTTAAGAAACCAGAAACCATTGTGCCCAGAAGGGTCTTTGACCCTTCTGTAATAGTGCCACCTTTCTAATATTCTTTTAATGATGTATTCTATTTAGATTTATTTAGGGAAGGGGACATTATTTGTGACAAACTATTGAGAGAACTATGCCTTTGTAGTCACCAAAGATACATTTATTCATTTGCACAAGGCCTCGTTAAGCAATCCCTACTAGGATTGTTACAATTTGAATTTTAGTAAATTATTACATAATTTAGTGTTTGACAAATTTAAATTTTGTGATCTTTATGTAGATGGATCGTAGTTGGATGTATAATATGACTAATTTTGGTCGAATGGGACTAAGACCTGAATTTGTAGAAGGTGTCACTAGTTTTGTGGAGTATGCAAAGACACTAGAACCTTTTCAACGTAGTGGTATGATTAAGTGTCCTTGTAGTAAATGCCAATGTTTGAATTATGAAAAACCAGATATTGTTAAGCTTCATCTCTATCGAAATGGGTTTAAAAGAGAATACACAGTGTGGACTAGTCATGGAGAAATTGATAATAGTTTTGATGTATTTCAACATTATGTTCCTGGTGAAAGTAGTAGCGCAGTGAATTCTAATGCACAAAATTATGGAATGCATGACATGGTTCAGGATGTGTTTGGGGTGCATTCTGATTTTGAATCTGGTAATCAAGGTGAAGAAGCTCCTAATGTTTAATGTAAAATTTTCTTTGAACAATTGGAAGCTGCTAGTCGGCCTTTATATGAGGGGAGTCCACACTCGCAGTTGTCACTTGTTGTTAGATTATTAAGTATCAAATCAAATTGGAATGCTCCGCAAAGGGCAATGGACTCTGTGATTGACCTTATGCATGATTTAGTTGACCCAAAGCTAGAGATACCTGATAATTTCTATAAGGCAAAGAGGTTGGTATCAAAGTTAGGATTGTCATCGATGAGAATTCATTATTGTGAAAATGGTTGCATGTTATACTATAAGGGTGATATTGATCTAGAATCATGTAAGTTTTGTGGAAAATCTCGTTATAAGCAGACTCCTAGTGGGAAGAAAGTTCCTATTAAGGCGATGCATTACTTACCTCTTATACCAAGGTTAAAGAGGTTGTATGCATCTAATAGATCTGCTCCTCATATGAGATGGCACCATGAAAATAGAAGACCACCTGGTGTTATGTGCCATCCTTCCGATGGAGAGGCCTGGAAGCATTTTGATAGAACATATCCACAGTTTGCAGCCGAACCACGGAACATTAGATTGGGTTTATGTTCAGATCGATTCACGCCACATTCTGTTTCTACTGCACCATATTCTTGTTGGCCTGTATTTGTAACACCATATAATCTTCCACCTGAGATGTGCATGACCAGTCCATATATATTTCTCAATTGTGTCATTCCTGGCCCACAGAATCCAAAAGTCTTGATTAATGTATACTTGCAACCTTTGATTGATGAGTTGAAACAATTGTGGGTTCAAGGGGTTGAAACATTTGATGTGTCTCTTAAGCAAAATTTTAATTTGCGGGCTGCCTTAATGTGGACTATTAATGATTTTCCTGCGTATGGAATGTTGTCAGGGTGGATGACAGCGGGAAAGTTAGCTTGTCCTTGTTGTATGGAAAATACTAAATCATTCACTTTGAAACATGGTCGTAAAAATTCTTGGTTTGATTGTCATCGACAGTTCTTGCCAATAGATCATGAGTTTAGGAGTATGAAAAATGCATTCAGAAAGAATACTGTTGACCAAGGTTGTCCACCTCTAATCTTGACTGGAGAACAAGTTTGGGAGAGGGTTCAACAATTTCCAAAGGTTACAGAAGAACAACCGTACAAATTTGATGGATATGGTGTTGCACATAATTGGACAAAACAAAGCATATTCTGGGAGTTACCATATTGGAAGGATAATCTACTTCGACATAATCTTGATGTCATGCATATTGAAAAAAATTACTTTGATAATTTATTCAACACAGTAATGGATGTCAATGGCAAGACAAAAGATAATGTTAAAGCTAGAATGGACTTACCAGAATATTGTAGGCGAAAAGAGTTATGGTTGCAAGAGAAACAGAACAACAAGTTCTTCAAGCCTAAGGCTAGTTATTCATTTACATTGGATCAAAAGCGTAAAATATGTGAATGGGTCGAGCAACTTAAGATGCCTGATGGACATGCTTCAAATTTGGGAAAACGTGTCGATATGGAGCACGGAAAATTACATGGTATGAAAAGCCATGATTGCCATGTCTTCATGGAAACATTACTCCCCATTGCATTTAGTGGCTTGCCCGATAGAATTTGAAAACCTATGACTGAAATTAGTTTGTTCTTCAAGGACTTGTGTTCTAATACGTTAAGGGAAGACAACCTAGTTCAGATCGATCAGAATATTCCTATAATTACAAATAAGTTGGAGAAGATTCTTCCACCTGGATTTTTCGATGTGATGGAGCATCTTCCTGTACATCTGGTGCATAAAGCACGCCTCGGAGGTCCGGTTCAATATAGATGGATGTATCCATTTGAGAGGTAAGTGTTTAACTCTTAATATTTTTATATCAATATTTTATTAAAATCAATGATAATATAATATAATGTAGGACTATTGGAAAGTCTAAACGGGGCATGAAGCAAAAACATAGACTTGAAGGCTCAATGGTTGAATTCCATCTTGCTAGGGAGATAGCTGATTTTGGTTCTTATTACTTCAAAAGTAGTGTGTCATGCTTTCAAAATAGACCCAATCGCCATGACGATGGTGGTGAGACTATGAAGCCACTATCAATCTTCAATCAACCAGGCAAAGGTTCAAAAAAATGTACGAGGAGGAATCTTAGTGCCATGGAGTTTAAGTCTGCATCGACACATGTCTTGTTGAATTGCCCACAAGTTAAACCATTTCTTGAGTAAGTTGTTGTTTTTGCACTTAAATATGTAATTACAAGGTAAAACAACTAACTCAATATCCATCTTCTTTGACAGCTACTTTGTGCATTTATATGGCAATGAAAAAGTGTTTGACCATTTCTCAAAGTGGTTTCAAGATTACGTAAGTCTTATAATATTTTCATAATACTATCATTATTAAATAAATCTATATTTAATTGATAGCTAATTTCCTACTTTTCAAATATTTATAGATTTATGATACAAAAAATGGTCAATTTGACCAATTTTTGAAGGACCTTTCTTGGGGACCATCAAGATTTATTCATTGGACAAGTATCTTGTAAATGGTTTTACTTTCAATACTGAAGAATGCTCCAAATATAAAAAAAACTAACAATAGTAGAGTTTGGGTGAAAGGTGGTGATGGAAATCAAGATGGAGTTGATTATTATGGGGTACTCAAGGAGGTTTTGGAAATGGAGTATTCCGGTTGGCCTATAAAAAAATTGTATTGTTTAGATGCAAGTGGTTTGATCCAACCCCAAAAAGAGGTACGAGAGAAATCAAACAAATATAATATCATTGAAGTAAAGCACACAAGGGAGTATGAAGCATATGATCCTTTCATTATTGCACAAAATGTTAAGTAAGTGTACTATGCTCCTTATCCCTTGCGTCCAGATAAATTAGATTGGTGGGTGGTGATTAAAACCAAACCCATGGGTCGTGTGGAAGTTGAAAACGTGTTGGATGTTGCGTACCAGGATGATGATATATCAAGTGTTCACCATACCATGGATGTTGAATTAGAAAATGATTTAGAGCATCCTGATCACATATTAGAAGAGGTTGATATAGAACAAATAACAGATGAAGGGGCAAATGCATCAATTAATGAGGAAGAGTTGTTCGATGAAGAAGAATGGTCAGAAGAAGAGGATGAAGAAGAGGATGAGGATGAGGATGAATAGTAATTAGTATGTTGAGTTTATATATATATTTTACTTTAGTCTTCTTCTTAATTATTTTATATTGCATTACTAAATTGTTTCTCGATTCTCTGTTAAAGTGGATCCCCAATTTTTAAATTGTTTCAAAAGTAAGTATGTGGTCCTTGTACTTTTAGTTGTTAATTTAATTTATATGAGGTTATTTGGTAGTTTTTCATTGAATGCATAGCTTATTTATTAGGTGTATTTAGGTTGTCTTGATATGATTTAAATCACCTTGAGATCAACAAGATGTATGTGACCACCTATCTAATATATTAAAATGTTAGAGAGGATATACTTTAAGTTCCTTAACTTATATCTTCAACATTTTCGTTTCTTCATGTTGTTAATAGTACTTGTTGGCTTTAAATGTGCTTCTATAGTTTTAGAACTCAGCCATTTCTGACAGACGGCAGAACTGATCGCATATATGGGTGAGAATCAAACTAATACTTTGAGTTAGAGAGAAATTTTTTTTAAAAAGTTACAAGAGAGTATTGAATGGATGAAATTTGCAAGTGAGTATTCTGATTACCTATCTCTAACCAGCGTCTTGAACTGCTCTAAGAATTCTATATTGTATCTGTATCACCATTTGCTTTTTGATTTGGTAGATGTGTCTTGTTTATGTTACACATTTGATATCATCAACTTTGGTCCATGATAAATAGGGCCCTGAGCTTCAACCTAAACCATGATAACACTTGCATAATTGAACTAAATTCAAGGTAAATTGATAACACCTGAATTGAATTAAACTCAAGGTAAATGTTGTGATATCCTGTCTTACAATCCCCCAAGCAGCCTTGAAAAACCCTCTCCATAAAAAGAAATTAATCTTTATAGGCAGCCCTTTAGTCTATATATAGTCAAATATCTGTATTTTCTCCTGTTTCCGTCTTAATTCATTCCATGCTGATTTGACTGTGAACTTTCCATTTGAATTTCCCATCCACCATGATGTCTCATTATCTACATTGACTAGTTGTGGACTGATGTTATCAAGTATATGCTCCGTTAAGTCCGTAAACTGCTTGCTTGACTTCTTCCAGGTCTGGTAGTTTTGTAAGGAAATCATTCTGCTCAATGGTGACTAAGGCTGGAATGTTTTGTAACATATCATAGTTGGTTGGCATGTTGTGTCAAAGAATAGTTTTGAGAAAGTCAAAAATAAAATGAATCACTCATTTCTTTATAGTTTACTTTTCATTGAAGGCATGCTTGCTGCTTCAACTTTGGCAATCTAGTAATTCCCTTATCAACTTGAAAATGATAGATTCCTACTGGAATTAGCACTGTCTTGTAATTCCCTTGCAGTTGAGTGCTTTCCTTTTTCTTTGCTCAGTCAAACTAAATATGGACATTGGACATAGTCACAGAAACAACAATATAATGCCAAAAAGGTCTCTGAATATTAGCAACAAGGGGAGAATGAATCTCCATCCTAGGAATAAAATGATGTTAATTAAGAGAAGCTACTCCTCACACCCCACCAACCCCTAGTTCACTTATTTTGCGTTTCAGCTTTCCCTTTTCAAGATGAAATTTACTTATTTTTTCTTTGAAGTTGTTCTTATTTGATAGATGAAATGACATAACAAACATTCATGAACATAACAAAACACACCAGTAGTTAATTCAATTTCAGCTTTAGTTAATTTTTATTGAGACTTTACTTGTTACGTAAATTTCTAACCTTATTTGACTTGAATGTTTTTGTTACTTAGATGGCAGGTGGTAATAAGAATAAAAATATTGATAATGCCCCCAAAAAGGAAAAAAAGAAGGATGGTATGATTAGTAGACGACCGACAGGGATACGTATAAGATCAGACTCCACAAATTATCTCCCATCAAGAGACACACTGATACATTGCTATTCTAAGCAGACCGAGCCTTATAGTCGGGTGCCTCCACATATTAATCATCTGTCGACCTATATGCATCCACCATTGGAATATACTCAGCCGCCCCCCCACGTACTTGTGCCCACATCAGGGTACAGTGTTTTGACTCCAGAGGCTAACCGACCAACATCTAGTGACTCTCGCACAGTTACTCACAACCCTATAGACTCACAACCTTCATCATCATCTTCTTCACAACTTGGAATGTCCAGTCTTCGCCTTCAAGGTAATGGTTCGGAGCCTAACACTCCTACCACAGATCAGTCAGCTACACCTGGTCGGGTCCTTACACAAGTTGGCGTGAGAGATATGCACAATAGACTTATCATCGAGCCTGACAGCTATACGTAAGATTTTATTTTTTACAAAATATCCTATGTTTATGATTGTCTCATTTAATTGTCTTTGTTTAAACCTGTAACTGTTAAAAATTTGTATTACAGTTTCAATCCAGATGATGTTGTGGGGATCATTTCTCAAGCAATCAAAGATCTCTATAGAGATGCTTTTCCGACTTGGGGAAAGATGCCAAGCAATCTCAAGAGACAAAAATTTTTGGAGTTTAGAGTATATTAAAATTTATTGCTTTAAACTATTTAAATACTTGTCTTCAATAATACTTATTAATTGAAAATTTTATGGTTTCATTGTAGAAAAAATGTGCTTGGCGTCCAGAATATGAGACCAAAATTTGTGCAAACTTTCACAAGAAAGTTGCACGTGTTCTCGCTAGTTTGTTGATGAAAGCTCGTAAAAAGAATAAGAATCCTCGGTGGATTCTACCGGAGGATTGGAAAAAATTACTTGTGCATTGGGTGAACGATCCAAGATTTAAGCAAATGAGTGAGATTGGTAAGAAGGCTAGATCATCTACTAAGGGTGGTTCTCTACACACAAGTGGGGCTCAAAGTCAAGGAAGTGTGAGGAGGAAATTGGTATGAATCATTTTTCTTAATTTTTTTTTATGTATTTTAGGTATTAATATTTATTACTCTTGATTATAACTTAATTAGTTTTATATGTAGGAAAAGGAACTAGGAAGACCGGTAACCCAGGCTGATGCATTCAAGGCAACACACATAAGAAAGAAGAAAAATCCGGAAGATCCAGACGTGTGGGTTGAGCCACGAGCTGAATTGACCTATGTAAGCCTCTAATTTAAAATAATAGTTACTTATTTTCTAAATTTATAGTCTAATAATAATACCATTCAATTTAGAATCGATATCTTCAAGCTTTGGAGGATTTACGATAAACTCAGCCAGAAGAAAATTGAGGTATGCCACTTAGTCAAGAACAGGCTGAGAGAGTGTGGCTAGACTTGATTGGTGGGCCGAGTAGATATGGGTATGCCTATGGCATGCCTCAACAAACCTTTCGTGAATATCATTCTGAGTTTGAAGGCTTAAGTAGTTCCTATGATAATGAATCGATGAAGAAAAATTTGGCTATGGAGCAAAACATAGCCGAGCTATCTAGCCAAGTCGAAGACTTGCGGGCGAGGGAAAGGCGGA